GGGTTTTGAATTTTCAGATTTTAAACTGTCAGTATTCTGTTCTTGTCGGGTTTTGCATTTTTTAAGATTTTAATATTTTGAGATTTTTCTGTCGGATCATGTGCAATCGGATTGTGAGCATCGGGATTTTGTACCAAACTTCGAAAACTTAAAATTGCAAATAGTATTTCTTTGATATGATAGTTGTTTTAAAAAGGTAAAGCTTCTTTATGTATATGAGGTATTGTGGTTTGACAGAGTGAGAAGCTATAATTAATCCCTGACAAATACCTGGGCAACACAAAACTTCTAACCATAATAATATGAATATGCCATAAATATTATTATTATTATTATTAGATAGCTCATAAGTATTAATTGTAACTAGAGGTGAGCAATCATTGGGACGATTTGCCTGCATCTCTAATTGTAATGGATTTAACACTGCATTTTTCTTATTAAATTTGTTAAATTGTCATGTATATGATGGGCATCTTTCGCTTCACCTTGCAGGCATCTTTGCCTTCGTGTCTTTATTAGAAATCAGTAAAGTACGCATTGTACACATAAATACCAAGTTCTTCTCAACCACTATCGTTATCTTCTAATTAACTCAACCCATTACTCCGCACACACATTTTTGTAAGTCAACCCCGCAACGAAGTAATATCCAAAGCAAGTTCCTCGTTTGTATTTTTGTATTTAGCGCAACAGTCATTGAATGCAATAACAGAATAATAAAAATAAATAAAATCTAATAATATTATAAATTTCGTTTTGATACGAAAACAGTTAATTTTTATTATCTCTATGTCACTATTAATTTCCTGATTCCCCATACATATGTAAATCAGAAAATTTGCCTTTTCACATCTTTTTGAAAACAGCTTAACATCTAGTGACACGTTCCCGAGGATTATTATTTATTTCCTGGGGAAAATTATAGCAGAGATAACCGACGATCATAGCCCTTCGGACCATCCATGTGCTATGACAGTTGATAAACCTCTGCTGTAATTTCTACTCCCCAGGAAATAAATAATACAGTCAGACACCCTAAATGCTATCCCTTAAGTGCACGTCCTATGAAACACCCCCTAAATGCACGCCTTCTCTTGGGCCAACTAATATTACATCTATAGATTTTTACCTCCCTAAATGCAATACCTCTCTAAGTGCACGTTTGACTAAACTTTATATATAGTCCCGTCACATTGTATTTAGGGAGGTCTGACTGTACAAATAATATCTGCATCAGATATAGACATAATTATCCGGACGCTACACCACCTCTAAGGATATTAGTGTTGATGGAATGTGGGACATTGACAGCACATAATAGTGCTGCAGAGAGACATACTTAAATGCATACTCCATAAAGGCATTCTTTATGTAAAATCTCTTTAAGTTCAGAATATAGTATGGTCCCAGCTTATAATAATACTATATATTTTCTCTCTATAAATGCACACTTTTTATAAATACACATTTTTGAAAATTTTTACTATGGTCCTGAGGGAGAAGTATTTAGGAAGGTTTCTCTATATACATTTCATTAGTGAATATTTTATTACATAACGAGCGCATCGCTCCAATTTATAAAAAAATAGTTATACTGTCATAGTATTTCATTGAAAGAGAAAATTAGTAACAATCTTTGTTAATCACTATGCGGTTCCAAGCAAATACAACGTACGTGCGTGTGCAAGAACGTAAATGCATATGTGCCGCTTTTTTTCAGAGTTATTGCTTACACAAATATTTAATAATAATTTAAATATATATTTTTTTTAAATCATTAAAAAAAAATAAAATAAGAACTAATTAAATGAAACCAATCTTAGTGAAAAAATAATAATAACCTTGCATGACAAGTGCAAAAGCATGCATTAAGTCGCTAGATCACAAAACTTCTAAAAACAAGAGAAAAATATATGTAGGTTATATTAAAATAACAAGAACAAACATTTAAAAACAATATATGGGAACCCCATAGCAAGGGTGCAATGGGCCAAAAATTTTAATTTTGTAATTTTATTAAAATTGAAGTTGATTATTCTAATTCTTCAAAAATTTGAGTTTAGAAAAAAAATTTTTTGGCACATTGCACCTTTTGCTGTGGGGGTCCCCATATATTATCGTTGTATGCAACAAACATAATAATATTGCGCATAACAAATAAATCATAGATTTCACTGAAAAGTAAAACCATTAATAATTCGATCCAGCAACGCGTTAATTTTATTTAATGGATTAGATGTAAACTGTGCATGGGAAGTAGTATTGCTTGCTGCAAAATTGATTGCGACTTTTACGGTGCAACTAGAGTTGAGACTTATCGTCGCAATAGAACATAACATCATAATCTAATACAATATGGATTATCTTGTAAATTATAATATAAATAAGTCTGGAAGATACAAATTTGCAACTTGCAGCAGGCAACTCTAGGCATTGAGTATTACCCTATTTAATCTTAAATGTCAAAAACAATGTAAAATAAAGGTTTCGCTCTAAAATAAGCACATGAAAATTATTTTACATGGATGGCAGGTGATAAATCAGTTAAATCCTGTGTAGTTGGATATAGGCGAAATTTGCAGTAAAATTATAACTAGCCGATTATACTTACTGTGAAATTCCACTTATACCAAACTGCCCAGGATATAACTATTACCTATACTCGACAATCTCAATTTTTTCAAATCGCTAAAGCTTCTTATGTGGTAATTGTATAAAGCGTTATAAGCACAGTTTTTTAAGAAACATTCCGCTAAAAAAGTATAAGCGATTTGAAAATTGATCGTTTAATATGCGTTACAATCTCATATAAACTTCAGGAACCGTCAACTCGTCGTAGAAGCAAAAATTTTGAAAACTTGACCGGTAACAGTGTTCTTCAAAATGCACTCTACAAAGCTATCGGTTAGATTTCTAAAATCTCATCTGCACAAAAAGTTGAAAGGTTTTGATACGCAAAAATTTTTTTAATAATTTAAAAAAAATTTATAATAAAGTTAATAAATGAATTTTAGCATTTATCGCCGGTGGCGATATCACCACCTCCTATTTCTTTTATCAAATTTAGAGATAGGGAGCAATTTTAGACCAAAGTTAGGGTTAGTTATAAGGGTCCAAATCTTTGTTAGGGTTAGGTTTTTGGGGGTTCTGAACATTTTTACTTAGTACCTTTGACATGTGTTAGCTAGTAGGTTTTGAGATATAGTATCCCCGGCGATATCGCCACTGGCGATGAATAGCAATATTCTAATAAATTATATTTTAAAAATATTTTTTATTTTATAAAAAATCATATTTTATATTATTAGTAAATTTTTATTTACTTAAAAAAATTTTAAAAATGTTCAAATTGCAGGCAAATTGCCTGTAAAACCCTTTAAGTGAAATTAGCAATAATAAAATATATAAATTAAAATACATTTTTATCTTGATAATTATACGCATAAACAAATAAGTTTATCTACAAGTAAGGCTATAAGTTTCGCTATATATCGTGGTTTTCGTATTTAAATTTTTTTTTTTTTTGATATTTAATTTTTCAATAGAATTCTGATTTAAGCAATACAGTAGTTTTTAGATTTTTGATTATTCACTTTATACTTTTAAATGTCGTTGAAAATTCGAATCAATTTGTTAAATCTTAACAAGATCGCGTAGTTATAGCACATATGTGAACGTATAATAAGCTTTCTTTTTTAATATACATTGGAAGTACGGTTAGAGCGCGCTATAATAAATCCAGAACTGGATAGTTTTTTAGCCTCTAAGCACCGTAATTTGCCTCTTGTTAGAGTACCGACCACCATCAATTCTGTCAAATCAAACAGTAAACCATTCCAATTACATATTTCATAAACGTACGTACGTTGAAAAAAGTGAGTTGCGTCGGAAAAGTTGCTGGGCCGAAATATAAAACTCACTACAAGTATTAATAATAACAAAACTATCCAAACTAGGACACTATAACTATAATGACCAAACCCTAATATTGGTAAGGCTTCGATCGAGGCGTGGAAAGACTTGGTCCGAGTATTCAGGGTTATTTTAGGTTATAGCGATAGTGTTGGATTCAGATAAGTGCCGTATTGAGTAATATAGCACCTTCGCTAATACTTCTTTTCGTGGGCATTGCGGCTGAGTCTCGTGATCGAAATTGGCCAACAAAAAATATGGTACAAGGTCACGGTATCACAGGTTCACAATCACAAACTTAATCAGGATCGATTTTAATAACGATAAGAGCTTGTATTACTAATACAGTTTCTCTTTATACTAAATACAATACAATGTTCGATGATCACAGAGACAAGAAAATACGATAACGACGAACGGTTTTTAACAAAAGGAGTACAACGGGTTAAGACAAACACTTCTACTCTTATTTCAAAGGGTTTGGAACTCCAAGAGTTTAACACTATAAAAGTGAATGCTCTGATTTCTTTAACTTAGAACTTTGAATGTATTTTCTTTACATACGTACGTAATATAATAACAATTATACTCACGGTAATAACTATGCTATCGATAATAACTATTCTAACGATTACTATTATTACTATTTTACTAGGATTTCGGGTAATTATTATGATTAACATAATTATAGCTATTTGAGAGAATTCGGAATTAGAATTCTTGGAATTTTGAATTCGTACTACGTCGGACCGCAGTAATCCCGGAGGGTAATTTACCTAAATATGGGATAATCTACACGAATTCTATTTCGAATATTATAACGAAGTACAGATTCTATGTAAATGACCAAATTTGAAAAAAAAACATTTTGTTCACAATCAAAAATCAATTGCAATTTTATTAATAACGCATTTTAACTAATTGTATAATGTATAATAAAGAAAGCTTGCTAAATATCAATAGTAGTCGATCTATAGAATGGACTGTATGTTTTACTCAAAATCAAACTGGACAAAGTTTGCTAAACATTTTTAATGCAAGAATTACTCAGTGTTATGAGAACCAGATTAATACTTTACAACAATATAATGTCAAACCAGTTAAAAGGAATAAGCATTCAATTTCACTTGCCTCTGGGTATAAAGGAAAATGCAAAAAATGCAATTTTTATAAACTTCACTACGATAAGAATTTCAATCAATGTAAAGATTGCTACCGGGCCTCATTACGTGTTTTAAGTGGCAATAAATTAATAGATGATTTTATTGAATTAACGCAAACGTTTAGAAACTGTACAAATAGAAAAAAATTAGAATTTATTCCATATAAACAATTTACCAATATTGAATATCTTGCTAAAGGAGGATTTAGCGTAATATATAAAGCAACATGGGTTGATGGACTTATTACTTGTTGGAATTATAAGAAGCAAAAATTCAATCGAAAAAAAAATTATGATGTTGTTCTTAAAATACTTAATAAATCTGACAAAATGGATTCTGATTATTTAAATGAAGTATGTATAACAATTATATCTGTGAAGTTATTATTATATATTGAATTTAGTTAATTTTATTATTTTATTAATTATTATTAGTTGAAAGCCTTTTTTCATTGCATAAAAGATAGTTTAGATCATAGTTATAAAAATGATAATATCCATCAATATCTCGGCATTACGCGACATCCTGAAACAAAAAATTACATAATAGTTATAGAATTTGCACAGAATAGAGATCTACATTATTTTCTAAATAAAGGTAAAAATCCTTTATCTTGGATAGAAAAATTAAGATTGTTACATAAAATTTCAAGTGGGCTTAAGATAGTACATGATCATAACTTCATTAATCGTGACCTTCATAGTGGAAATATTCTCATTAACCAGATTAATATTCCAGCAATTGCAGATTTAGGAATAAGCAAACCAGCAGATACATCATCAGATGAGGATACAGTTTATGGAGTTATTCCGTATGTTGAACCAGAAGTATTGAAAGGAGGAAAGTTTACACAAGCTTCAGATATTTACAGCCTTGGTATGATTATTTTGGAAGTAATAAGTGGCTACAGGCCATTTTCTGATCGTAAACATGATGAACATCTCATTCTAGATATTCTTAATGGTTTTCGCCCAAAAATTCCAACAGACATTCCACACGAATTAGTTAAATTATTGGAAAGATGTTGGGATCCAGATCCAAAAAAAAGAACTTTTAAGGATTTTATTAATTTTTCTATTTTAGGGTTTTGGGAACAAAGGAGACGAAGGGAAATGGGCGATTTGGGATATGAGCTTGATCAACTTATTAGAAAAGCAAAAAGTGGAGAAATAAAATTTCCAGAAATTATAGGTACAAGTATTTTACCAACTAAAATAAACGAACAAGCAATTTATTCCAGTCGACCATTAACGCCATTAATTAGTAAAGCATTGACTTTACAAAGTATGAAACTAAATAGTAATATAATTACAGGTGAGAAATTATGGTTTATTGAGATGATATGTTAGGTATAAGCTAATCTTAATAATATTTATTTATAACAATTGATTATATTAGATATTCGATTAGTAATAAAGCAGAAATTAGAAAGTAGTCAAACAGATGATGATTCTAAAGCGATTGAATTGGATATAAACAAACACGAATAACAAAAAACTATAGTGAATAGCAGTACCCACAGATAGTGTAAATTAAATTGGTTTGATTATCTGGGATCTTTATTATGATTTTTTTTCAAAAATGGATTTATTTCTAATTAAAATTTGCGTAACAATGCATCGGAAGGTTATGTTCTAACAATTGATTCCAATTGATATATCAGGATTCCGCATGTCTAACACAGTTAAATCATATAACGTCCTGTTCCCTGCCTAGCACTACATTTTAAATTTAAAGAGATAATATATAATAGTTATTGGATACTTTGCATCCAATAACAGGAGTTATTTGATAGTTCCGATCATAGTAGGGTTTCGGATAATAAATTATACAAGTTTATTTGGAATTAAGCTTATTTTCTTGAAATAAATGTTAAATATGACTTGCATATTTATTGTTACTATTGCAGTATTTTAAGTAAAAAAAAGTTATCGTCCAAATAATTTAACTAAAAGAATTTAAGAAGCTAGATTTGATAATTCGAGAATATGAAGCATGCGATTGGCATGATAAAAAAGGTGGTTAAAATGTTTTCATTTGATATATCAAGAGGTTTCTTGTGTCGATGGATAAAGGCGTCATGACCAGCGCTAAAAAAAAAATAAAATTCCAGGCTGGTACGTACGTACATATTTTAAAAGAAATTCATTATAATGACTGTCGAAACATATAGGAAATTTAAAATATAATCCGAGAAGATTAAACATGAAATTTGAAATTTTCATAATTCCTGAAACATTTGATAAAAGTTGACCGAATATACTTCGATTAAGCTGGTGATTTCGGCATAATTAATTCAAATTGATATAATTTAAAATCTGGTAACTAATTACGTATAAATATTATGGTATTAGTACGTATGTACGTATGTACGTACCTACCTGCGGTTAGGGTTAGGACTATACTTCATGTTAGCATGTTATATAGGAGTAGGGTTAGGGTATAGGCTTATTCTAAAGAGTCTGATCAACTATCATGCGCATGAGTATAATAAACGCTTATTATCAATGTTACTAAATTTATTGACCCGACTATATTGCTCTACATAGCTTACATAGGACTCAAGAAAATTACAAAAACGTGATAATACTGTTTACGGTCTCGTGCAGATCTGCGTTGATTTCATTGGCTAAAGGCGCGCCACAGTATGTCACCTCATCCCTTAATTTACGCCGCATCCCCTACAATGACGCCACTAGATTTTTTTTTTGAAATTCTCACGGTTGCAGCTAAGGATCTTTTTTTTTTTTAACACGCGTATATACAGTACGTACTCAAGTACCCTATTAAAAAAAATGCAAGACGTAAAAACGTTTATATCTATCTGTTATAATTTACGACCATCAGATCTTCTTGCGATGGTATGCGTATGCAAAGATTTCAAAAATATTTTAGATGAATGTATTAATCCATTAGCAAGAGAAATTTGGAAAAATTCTAGAAATCGGTTTACAATTTTTCACGATAAAGAACCTCCACCAAGAATGAGGGAACAAACTTTTGCAAGGTTATTAACGTTTGAGAAAGGTTGTCAATTTTGTAAAACTAAAATAAGAGCATGCACAGTATACTGGATTCCTGGAGTTCGCTCTTGCAAAGAATGTATGGTCCTAAGAGCGTTTAGGTAAATTTGATTTACTATTTTATATATATATATTTCTTGATGATAATTTGGATTTAATTAAAAATTTTATTAACATTATTTAATAGTGCAAATATATTTGAAAATACTTTTAAGCTCGATAATGAAATTCTTGGACTTATTGCACCAGTAACACCAAGCATTCAACCCAAATTAGTATATTATTGGGGCGAACATGTTAAGAATATTATCGCATTTTTGATGAAATTCGATGGTAATATTCCAATCGATTTGAATAACTTAAGAGAACAAGTCGAAAATAATTATAAAGAAGTCGAACATTATCATGATTGGTTAAGCAGTTTACGCAAATTATACATTAGAGTTCAAGAACGTTATTTTGATAAATTGAATGAAGAAATGACTAGTGAAATTTTCATCAGCCTACAAAATGAAGATGAATTCAAAACAATTAAAACTGAGATCCGTGCCAATCCTTTTTTAATACAAGATTGGTCAAAGTATAGAGAAAGAATTTTACGAATTTTACCAGGGATTTATCAATCTTCTTTAGATAAACGTATGAAAGAAAATTCGGAACGAATTCTTAAAAATCAAGTTAAAATTATCAAAGGTTTAAGGAAATTAACATATGGAACTGCTAATCGGCCTTTGAATAAAATTATAAGCATTTGGGATCCATTATATCAATATTTAGCTATATGTCCAAGTTATGTAAATCCTCCAGAAAGGGATGAATCAGTTTATACACGAGAATTTATCGAAAAAACACTTTTACCAATGCTCAAAAAAGAGGCAGATGAACTTCGCGCGACGAGGGTACCCCCTCCTCCATATTTACTTGACATACATGGTGCGTTAAGAGTTGGTAGCCTTCGAAGTCAACCAGTCTTTGAGTGTCGTCTTTGTTCCAGAATTGAGCCGTCTAGTCTCAAACACTTTAAGCTGCATATAAGTATTGCTCATAAGCTTGATGATAGTCTAAAGAACATAGTTTCAGTAGCAAAACTAAATTGTGATGCGGTGGTTACACACTTGTATTACGCTTTTTTTGACTCATGTAATTGAGTGTGGAAGAAAATTCTTTAAGTAAATCAAATACATGATAATGGGATCAATCTAATTAAATCTATGAATTCATTTGGATTGTTATTCTTTGATTTTTCAAAATATTAAGAGAAAACTTTATAAACTTTTTATCTTTTTATAAAAGTTTATTTGCATGCATTTTTATAAATTTGATGCTTAAATTAGAATGAAAATTTCTGAGATAAAATAGGTTTTATTTTGACAAATAAAATTACAGCGCTACATTGAATCATGCATTTTAGTATATTTGTTTATATACGATTCATTTAACTATATACTCAGCGAAAAAAAAAGTTTATTATATAAAATTATAAACTAATAATTTCCGCCCAAAATTTAAGATGTATTATTCTACTTTATATCAATCAGATCGAATTTTAACTGATATAGTTAACTAAAAATTAGTTTCGTAGATGATAATGAGATCAGTTTAAAATGAAATCTGGATTCTTTTTAAGACTTTAAAACCCATTTATACTTTTCTACTAACAATCTTAATTCTAAATTCCTATATCGATGGATAATCAAAATAGCTATATATCGTAACCAAAAAATCGTACCAACAATAAAATGAATGATGATAACGGAAGTGATAATTGTGATCAATCAAATTTTAAAAGTATTATATTACGCTAATACGTGTATATAAAAGTTAGAAGAGTATCCCAACAATTGGAACTACCCTTCTAATCATAGTTAATTATATTCCAACTTCTAATCTTGAATATTCATCTGTCATACAAAAACCTTTATATTATTCCGTTTAAAATTCTTTGATTACGATAAGGGTTTTTTTTTGATATATCCTCAGTATCGGTCATCAATATTAAGATTACTAATCTAAGTTTTTTTAGCGATATTAATCTTAGAATATTTTGACAGCACATTGAATATTATAAATTGTTTCTAATGCGTCACTTACTTGGAAATATGTATGTAAACTATCCTGGTCTCCGTACAGCATTTCTAAGTCAGCATATTTAAAAAAAAACAGTCGGCACAATAGACAATAAACCTGGATTCGCTAAGTTTCTATCTTGATCCTTATAAAGATCTGGAAGTTTTAATTGAGAAAGACTAGTTAGAGTTTTCGTCATAGTTCATCACTTAAAATGGAACAACCTAAATGATTGTTTGTTAGGGGATCCCTTAGAGATAAATTTTCATTGCATTAATCAAAATCTTTTTTTTTAAAAAAAATATATTGATTTGGTAGGAATCGTTTAGTTAATCAATAGAGCCATAAAAGATAAAAAAAAAAATCGTTTAATTAATCAATAGAGCCATAAAAGATAAAAAAAAAAACAATGCTTAAGATCATTTTTGGCGTATAAATATGATTAAAAAGAATATGATTCTTGTGAAAATTTTTTAAACTATAAGTTAATTTGATTATTAAATGATTTAGCATCCGATTTCAAATAAAATAAGCGACGTATTTCATCAAAGCGTGTGATCCAACAGGAGGAACCGTCGATGTTACACAACTGATTTTACACACGGTGTGAAACACATAAAAAAATTATTTTACAATAC